TTCAGATCTTTAGACATCTGGGTGTTTTATTGTATAAGTGTACTCGTTGAAAAATGGTATATAAATCGTGGGCTGGAGTGAGACCACCATGCATGGCACACTCAGAGACGAGTTCCACATCACACGGCACTCACGTGAGACACACGGCGTCCAAGAGAGTCTCTGAAATCAACACAACTTCGTCACCAGCGGCTATGGCCGCTCAACTCAGCATCCAGGTAAGTCTCTCTGTCGTCTCTCTCTTCTCTCTCCTTACTCTCACTCTCACCTCACAGTCCTCGCTCGCCTCTCAGAATGTCTTCCTCTCTCTCACACTACAACTATGGCTATGGCCCCTAGCGCCGTTGACTACACCGCACTATGCTCACTCTCGCTGACTTGTTCACCTCGCCAAAGCACAAGACCGCAGCAGCGCTTCCGCATTGAGTGTCCAACACATTGTGTTGAAGTCCAGGAGATGCTGGACTTTTATACTAGCTGATCCGCCTTCCAGGCATCTTCTGCTGGGGTTATGGGTTGGCTCCCCTTTCCTTTGTTTGCTGCCTTTCTGCTTCCGGAAGCTTACGGATTCTCCTTGGATCTGGCTGCTCGGTCCGGCTGACTGACACCTGGCCTAACGACCTCTGTGTCCTTGGCTGAGGTTCCTGGCGCCTTCTGAACATAGACTCTTATATCTAACAGGAACTTCCTACCACGATGTACTTAACCAGCCTACCTAGGCTTCCAAAATCGTTGTACAGCTAACGGGGATCCCCAAGCCCCTGACTAACGGGTCCAAAACTGAAATTAGGGTTTGGGGGTCAAATTTTATGTTTTGGCGTATCCTGACAGTCTGGTGCATGGCGTCCAGATACTGGATGTCCTGGTGGCCACCTTGTTTATGATCTGGATATTCGGACAGTCTGCCACAAGTCATGACAATTGAAATTGTATTTTACAGTCCTTACTGTGATTGTTTTGACGCAGGTGAGGGACTGGGAGAGAAAGGAAATCGGGCGCTTCAGATTGCCCAGAGAGCTTGATTTGGCTGCCACAGGATCTTAAATATTTCCGCCATCTTTACTCCTTGGCTGTGTTGCAGCTCTTTGTCTGTGTTTGCTTTGCATCCTCTCTATCTCCGATTGCAGAAGCTCACAACGGACTTTCCGGATGATATCTGGCTGGAGCTTGAACGGGAGAGAAGCGAGCTGAATCAGTTGGTAAGGTTGGGGAGATTGTATCATTCCCAGCGCCTGACAGCTATTTTGCTAAGTTAGTCAAATGGTGTGACTTGAACTGACTTCTATTGATACGTGTGGTTGCATCTGCATGTGCAGACTCCACATGTGTGGTGCACAGCAGGTCACACAGATGTACTGCACATGGTGGACGCTCACCAGAAAATTCCTAAAGGAAAAGATGCTGTGTAAAAATGTATTTCGAGCAACTTTTGGTGTGGACGGTTTGTTGATTCGAAGAATCCAAAATTATTTTTGATTTTTTTTCGTTAAAAATTTTGCTGCTGTACATGGTTGCATCCCTGCCGACCGCCGACCCCGACCGCCGACCGTATTGCAGCCGACCAGTAGGGCCGACCGGTCAGCGGTCTGCCGACCAGTCAGAAAACAACCATCCACTAATTGTTTTTCAGATCTGAGTTGGAAGCTGGACTGCGCTTGCTGAGTACATCCCAAATCCGCTGAGAAACTTTTGGGGATGGGGGGGTTCGGGGTGGGGTGTATAGGGGTGTATAGGATATAGGGGGGTATAGGGGTGGTATAGGGGTGGTATAGGGGGGGGTTATGAGGGTGTTGGGGGCTGGTTTGTGGGTGTTGGGGGGGTGTATGGGGGTGTTTGGGGTGGGTATGGGGGTTTTCGTGGGGTTATTTTTTTTTTTCGGGGTGCCGCCGACCCCCGGCCGGTAGGTGCCGACCAGTCAGGGGTTGCCGACGGTCGGCGTGTGCAACACGGCAGCTGTATTCATAGAAGTGGAAAACGGGTCCATTGTCCCTTACATCCGGGTTGCGCACTCCCCCATTTAGCAAAGACAAAACACGCACTTAGGCATAACTCCGCCCTTGGCACAGCTATTGTACTATGAAGGCTGGACAATAGTGTACGGCTTGCATGATGCTAAGTGGGTTGGATAGTACCCTAGGATTGGGCGGCACTATGTGCGACAGGCCATGTGGACTGGATATCACTAACACACACCGACCTCCGAATAAAAAAAGAAGGCAGAAAAACACATTGCCAATGTCAGGTGCAATCTGGCCCTCGTGACCCCCAGGTGGTACTACATGTGTGTGATGGTATGCGGGTCGGTCGTACTGCATAGGGAGGACACACCATGTGGATAGGGCGACACTGTATGGGATTTGGGTTGGGCGGTGCTATGTGGGGCAGGTCATTCCATGTGGACTGGGCAGTACCATGTGGTCAGGGAGGTCCACAGTGACCTCGGTTATACTAATTGGGTCAGGTGCTGCTATGCAGGGCAGGTCATACATACTATGTGGGGGGGGGGCGGGGGGGACTACGTGGGCTGGGCGGTATCATGTGGGCCCATGCGACACTACGCAGGTTGGGCAGTGCCACACAGTATGTGGATGGGATGGCACTATGTTGGCTGGTTGGTACAATTTGGGGTAGATGGGTGATGCTACGTGGGTTGCCCAAAAAAAGCCCTAATAAGGGCACACCCAGCTGCTGTTGATCAGGTGTTGAATCCAATGAAGAGACGTAAAGAAACAACTCCGAGCCCTTTTTTCCCCTTTTGTTAAAGCAGCAGGATTTGAGCACGTGACCATCCAGGTTGGTGTGATATGTACTTGTATTCGAACATCCTGTGATACCCGCCTCACCCAGTGGGCCCCTCGATCACTGCTGTGGTTCAAGCTCATGTCTACGTCAACAGTTCGTTGTGTGCTGACTGAGTTCAGTAATGACAAAAAGAACTAAACGAAAAGGATTCGGTCTGTGGGAAAATATGGAAAGATTCAAGGGCACTCCCCCTTTTTCACCTGGTTGTGTCTGGATTCGAACTCCAGACTGTATTTTGGGTAGGAGGTTCCGAGTGCCCTGATCACCGGTCTTCTTTCCATCCATGCGGGCTGCTATGTACTTGTATTCAAACATGAGGTGGGGATCGCCGGCCGGGGCATGCTCCCGAAACACAAGCGCCCGACCGGTTTTGAACATCGCAATGAAGGGAGGTTCAGGAAAGAAAATAGCAACCGCCCTCGGTCCGCTACAGCCTAAAAAAACAACAACCGCGCTTCTCACATTGCAAATTTGCCTGACGCGCAATTCAGTCTGGGACAGGCGGCCCACCTTTCAGGATGTCCCAAGTGGCATTGCTTTTTTTGGGCCCGGAGGGGTTGGGGGGCCATCACGGGAGGACAGGGTTAGTCTTTGGAAGTATTATGGATATAGATCATGGTTACGACGGACCCGGGCACCAGACCAATTCAAGATCAGGGCCGACCTCTGTCTGGACTGCTCCGGGCCATGCGGATTGACCCGCTCCCCTACAAGAAAATCCTTTTTATTTTTTCCCTTTGGTTGGCACCAAGCGTACCGCAGGCGGTCATGGGGAATGAAACCACTACGTCCTGAATGCCACTTGCATGCTCAAGTGGTTAGGCATGCAAGTGGCATTCAGGACGAAGTGGTTTCATTCCCCATGACCGCCTGCGGTACGCTTGGTGCCAACCAACCTGAGATAGTCAGCTGGATCCTTGCGGTGGGTATTAGTAGTGCGGTTGGTATTAGTAGGTTCTTCACCCAATATAGGTGTGAGTGCGAGTGTGAGTGGGTTGTGTGTGGTAGGTGGGAGAGTGTTGGCCTTAGACACTTGTTATTTGATGTGGGTGGGGGATGATGAAAAGGGAGGTGCAGCTACTGGCAAATGCTCGGTCCTTGCATTAGCCGGGCGCCCACTGGGGGGGGGCGCATCTGTACATTCTGGTCAGGACACATCCACACCCAGACCTTCAGCACTGCAATCTGGAAGAGCGGATCATAACCGTGATATAAATTACAGATAAAGATATCGATATTAGATATAGACTATGTATATATATTCTCTTTTACCCTTGCCTTCCTTTTTTCACACTGAGATTTCTCTCTCTGAAGTATACCAGTGAGGTTCGCCATCTAGATACGCCACTTGTTCATCCCTGGCCTCTGGCATTGAATCAACAGTTCTGTCAGTATCTTCCACTGATTTTTGCTTCTAATTTCTTAACAGTATCTTCCACTGATTTTAATGAATTCGGTGCACTGTACAGTGCATTGTACAGTTCACAATGCACTTGTGTTTGACTAACTATAACACAGCCGAGGGAGAGTGGCCAGGCCGTTATTTTCTGTTTCTCAAATTTTGTGTCAAGGGATGAATCATTGGACCCTTAAACCACCAGTACCACCGCAATTTTCAGAGGCTCAGCCTGCTGGATCTCGCTGCCAGCCAAAAAGAAAGAAATTTGTGCTGCACCAGTTCGTTCTGTTTTTGGTGCGCAGCACAAATCTGGGTCGGGAAAAAGAGGCTTGGAGATGCTGGTGGCTTAAGAAACGTTAACGACCAGTGTCTACATTTTTCATACTGGCGCTGCAAAATAATGGCAATGTGTGCCTCCAGGCCTTGGCGTTTTTCTAACGTTTTTTAATATATAATCAAACATACTCTCCATTCTATTCTGGAGAGTGTCACTGCAGCTCATTTTCCAGTAACAAGTCACATAACTTATGTCTCATAAAACCAAACGCTTCCTTCCATTGGCCAAAGGAACCCCTGAACATCATTCATTACTCTGCACGGGAGAATTGACAGCCAGATTATCAATGTATCCTCTGGAGATGTCGCTCGGCTCATACATTTACGCCTACTGTCGAGAGTGTGGCCGTTATTTCAATTGATCTGATGTTTTTTTTCTTTTCTTTCTAATTTATTCAGACTATTTCTCAATTTGTGTGTCGTCCTTGCTCAGGGGCCGTGCTAAGCTTCTGTTTGTTGTTGCAATTTTAGTGCATGTCAGGAAGGACCATGATTTGATGCTTCTGCGAAAGCATTTTCTTTCCTCTTGGCCCACCCCCCCCCCCCTCTCCCCCCTCCCCCTCCCCCCTCCCCTCCCGGCCCCCCTCCCCAGCTGTTATCCTCTCAAGGGGCAGGCTTATAGACAATGAAATATGCTTGGCAATCAAGGTGGAACAGTCTCTCCCAGGGCAACCTTAGCAGTCATGAGAAGTCTTACGGGTTATGAGTAGCATATGAAGATGGAAGCGTAGATGTGTGATGCTTTGCTCCGTCGGCCTACAAGTTGAGATAAAGGTATAGTCTATCCTCTAGTGGTTTGTAAGAGGGTTCGAAACAAGGGGAGCATGCTAGAGGACAATTTGTTGGCACTGGAAAAGTAGGGAATAGGTGGTTTCCACATAGGTACCCCAAAATCTGGCATGCTTGACCCATGTCAACATGCCTGAATGTATACAGACAGCAAATGGTAAGATAAGTGGTCAAAGGAGCGCTGGCCAAGTATATCAAATCTCTAATCATCTCAGGTGCTGATTCAGCCTGATTGTAGTTCAATCCGAAATAGTTGACACACCAGTGGGTTGTGCCCCGCAAGTATTGAGTTCATCCACGTGGCCCGTCCAGCTGTTTAGGGATGACGAGTAAAGAAGTGCAAATAAATTCCAATCACCTGGTCAAGCTTGTGCCACATGGTGCCAATGAAAAGAGGATGTGCCGACAAGTCTGGTGCCCTGCTTAAGCAATTCGGAAAGGGGTACAGCTGTGCAATAATGACAGGGGGGGGTAAAGAGGAGAAACATTGAGGGAAATATGCAGTCTACAAGACGCGAAATCAAGAACGTTTTCAAGTGTGTGTGCGTTTCAAAAGTCCCTTCAAAGAAAGATGCAGAAAAGTGTTTATCAGGTGTATGGACTCCAGGGAGAGTATCATTCGTGTTAGGTAGAAACATCTACTCCTGGAAATGTTCATTATTCGGTCCGAAAAACACATGAATGCATGCCTTTTTTCTCGTTGTGTTGAGCCTCGGACAGGTAATTGAGCTTCAATTTTCATGGAGCCATGTGCACAGCATGGATGAATGCCTGTTCCAGAAACTTCAAGAAGAAGAATGGGGTGTCCTTTTTGGGACATCCGTTAAAATTAGAACGATGCAGAGAAGATTAGCATGGTCCCTGCAAAAAAGAAGAAGAATGGGGCAAAAAGATGCCAAAAACAGAAAAAAATCATAAGATGTCAAAAGAGAGGGTGTGGCCGGGATGGGGTAGAGAGGGACAGGGGTGTGTGTGTG